CTGAGATTGTCTTTCCTGCTTGCCAAATGATATTCGGTTCCACCCACATAGATACCAAGGCCTCTAATGAAAATGTATGTCAGTCAGTCAGAGAGCGATGGGAATGATAGTTTCCATTCAGCTTTTGTGTTTTGATGACGTGACAGTAAAGCAGGAGGCTCGGTTTCGATACCGTTTCCCATTCCCTGGCAGCTGATGTTTAATTTCCGATTAGTAATTGTTCAGAAAACTAAAATTTCCACTCATGGTAATTTTATTGGCTGGTCCAAGGCAAACTAGAATTCACTGGCATTTTAGTTTTTTCGCAGTAATCCTACATTTCCTCCTTGCTCTTCAAGGGATGAAACTGGAGCCGATATCAGTTTGGTTTGGCAGTCTCAGAGGGACGCTATGGCCCGATGCTGGGTGCCAGCCTTGTGTCCAGAGGGACATGTGACTGTATTGTGGGAGTGTGGGTTGGAGTGACGAGTCCTTTTGGATGCCCAGAGCTCTCAACATCCACCCACTCCACCCAAACCCGCATGCATGCATGCCTCCATCTGCTCGCTGTACACTCTCACGCTCTGCTTTTCACGTTGGACTCTGCTTCAGAGCACTGTGTGTGTAAGATCAAAAGCATATTACACTTAAGTGTTGATGGTCAAGTCAGTTTTGTTTTAAAGTCATGATGTAACGGAATTAGCGAATGATTGTTTCTTCCATATTGTTACGTACATCCAAGTGAAATGGATTTTTGAAAAGAAAAAGAATGTTGGACGGGGTCTTGGTTCTGTCTATCGGTTGTTGATTCGATGGAGGCAGATCTGAATGCAAGCTTGCAATCAATTGTAAGAAAGGGCCGGGGTTTCTGTGAATTAACTGATTGTGATCTGTCATTTTCACCAGAAGATTGAGTAAATAAAAATAAATCATGAATAGATGAATAAAAATAAATCATGAATGGATAAATCGTTCACAGTAAGAAGATAGATAAATTGGGTAAATTTCAACTTCAATGCCGTTTTAAAGGAAAACACCACTATTTTTGAAAATAGGCTCATTTTCCAACTCCCCTAGAGTTAAACAGTTTAGTTTTACCATTTTCGAATCCATTCAGCCGATCTCCGGGTCTGTCGGTAGCACTTTTAGCTGTAGCTTAGCATAGATCATTGAATCTGATTAGACCATTCAGAGTTTCTATAGTTTTCCTATTTAAAACTTGACTCTTCTGTAGTTACATTGTGTACTAAGACCGACGGAAAAGGAAAAGTTGCGATACTCTAGGCCGATTTGGCTAGGAACTATACTCCCATTTCAGCGTAATAATCGAAGGAACTTTGCTGCCGTACCATGGGTGCAGCAGGCACAATGATATTACGCAGCGCCTGAAAATAGTCCCCAGCTAGGTAACTTCCAATAAGCCTATTTTCAGGCGCTGCGTAATATCATTACTAACGTTCTAATCAGATTCAATGATCTATGCTAAGCTGCAGCTAAAAGTGCTACCGCCAGACCCGGAGATCGGCTGAATGGATTTGAAAACAGTAAAACTAAACTGTTTAACTCTAGGGTAGTTGGAAAATGAGCCTATTTTCAAAAATAGTGGAGTGTTCCTTTAATGGTGAGGTGTGTAATATCTGTGCCAGTGGTAGCAAATGGAACTGCAGTTTGTGCAAGTGGAATGGCAAATTGGTTCAACCAATGGTGTGAGTTTGGGAAGGGAATTTTTATTTGATTTGATTAGCCAATGGGAGTGTTTGAAACGCCATTGTTTTTTTTTCTGTTTGTTGCCGCTTTGGTGCAGATGCTAACCAGTTTTTAAAAACATTGTAAAAGCTTTAAAACAGTGTTTACAATGATTTCTTCATTGTTGTTGTTTTTTCCGGGTTCAATTTGATTTACCATCATGTGGACTCAATAAAGCAGTTTTGTCTTTGCCATTCTAAATTTGATGCATGATTGCTCTTTTTATTTTAAATATACAGTAAGCAGTTGTTTGATTTATCAGATGCATGGTTTGCTGGATGTTGTAAACCAGTTGGCAAGGATCCATCACCTACAAAGTCAAAACACTTATAAATTATACATAGCATATCTCAGAGGAATACTAGTCATGTGTTTTCATCAGTTTGGGTCATTGTTGATTTGCCAGTTAGGGTTTATTTTTTCTACAGTTTGTCATTTGAGGACATATCAATAATTATGATAATTGATTATGGGAATTTTTGCAAACATTTAGCTCACACACATATTGATGTCATGAATTTGTGAAGTGAAGATGAATGAGCATTAAAGGAGTTGTTGTGAACCCTGTTGATGTGAATCATACTTCCTGTGTGAGTGTAAACAGGAGAGAAACCACCTGAGACCATAGAATAGCAGTGTTGTTAGCTAAGTCTTTAACATAAAGACAACTAGACATTTACATTTTCGGTCAAGTCAAATTTATTTTAATAAAATTTAAATTTATTTACACTTTATAATTTTGTTTTAATTATTATTATTTTGCAACAATAATTATCATAATAGAAATTATAATAATAGTGATTTATTATAATTATAATTATTATTTTATAGTCATATATAAATAATCACTGTTTTGGTCCAATTGTGCAGCCCTACAAACAAGTTTAATATTTTTTATTTTGTAGTAATGATAATAAAATTCACACAATCACAATTTTTATCAGAAAAATCACAGTATTTTTCACCAAATTGTGAAGCACTTGTTAATAAGTTAACTTGTTAGTAGGGATGTAATGATTACCGGTTTGACGATAAATCATGATAAAAAATCATCATAAAATTCCCCACGGTTAGTATTATCGTTTCATCTTTCAATTATCATTAAAACCGTATTAGATTACCGCAATTTGAACAACTCGCGATAAATAAATACTGTCCAGCATAAAGCACAGTTTTAGGTAACAGTCTCACATGCACGCAGAGTAGTTTCGTTTTGAGTGAAAACAGGGCGGAAAAGCGTGGAGGTTTTAAAATAATTATACAAAGGAATATATAAATTAATTAATTATATGAATGTACCTCTGAAGGTTCTGACTGTCTTCAGAAACGATTCGATGGCATTTTGTTTTCATCTTCGCTCCGTGTAATACCTAAAGGAAGTGTTCTTAATGCAATACTGCTTTGTCTACGGAGTTTACGGGAAACAGCTTTTCCATAAGCGCTACCTGCTGTCAGCGAGTGAATTTACAGAGACTTATATTTACATTCAGCTTGCATGCAGTTTGTCTGGCCAAAAATGGACCGAATTTGCATGCCCTGCTGTAAATTTTGACCGGTTGATGGAAAAACAAGCTTATGTGGATTCTAGACATTTAAACAATTCAGATAAGTTATCTAGAATTATTATGGAGCAGATAAAATACAAACATTTATTAATCAATTATCATTTTGACTTTATTTAAAGGCTTAAATGTGAGGTTTACCTTTTCATTAAACTTTTTCAAAGCTTTATTTGAACATTTACATTAGATATTTCAACATGCTGTTAAACTGTTGTCAGTCAAGTTGTCCTTTAAAGTCCAAACATCGTTGGTAATGTTATTGTTTTAGTGATTATGCAAACAAAAAGTCATTTTATTTGTAGTTTGTTGATTTTTAAATATAAAACTGGTGAAGTGATTTATGTGTCGGTACTTTTTTTGACATCTCCAGCACATTTGAACAATACCGTGATAATACTGATAAGCCGTGATAATTTTGGTCACTATAATCGTGATAAGAAATTTTCATACCGTTACATCCCTACTTGTTAGTAAGTGCTTCATACAAAACTGATGCCGCTAATGTGGAAAACACTTGCTCAAACACAAATGCTCAAAAGCACTGATTGTGTCAACCTGGTAAGTTTCCAGGTTTTTCCTTACTCCTGGAAGTTGTGTAAGTCAGCCAATCAGATTCGAGCTTGCCATGTGAACTGTAATTGCCTTAGCAACCATCGCTAACTAACGATGCCCTTGATACACTAAACAAAAACCTCTTCCTAAGACAAGCCTATTTTTCTTCATTACTTTAAATTATAAACCGTTATAGATCACCCCCTAAATGTAAACAGGCAAGCTGTATTTTGCCCAGCCAGTTTGCTGATATATTTAGTCACCAGACA